CAAATGTTGATATGTCACTTGAAGATCAGATTGGCAATGTAGAGGCTGGTATTTAGGGAAAAGTTTCAAGAACAATTGCTAAATAGAAGAGGAAAAAAGCACACACATCTAAGTAAGAAAATGCAGAAGTAAAAGACACTTTTGTTATTGATTTCAACATTTATGATGGAAAGCAGATTTTTCTCTAAGAAGAACTAGACTCAATGAGCACAGAGGAGTTAAACAGCCACTATCGGTCCTTGAATGAAGTTAGTGCACCAAAGAAGCCAAAACATGTTCCGTTTAGACTAGAAATTGGCATGAAGGACCCAAAATTTTTTATTGGGTTGCTGTTTGACACAAAGACATTATTCAAGCAAGCAGCTGACTTCTATGAGGTGATGTGGGGCAAGGACCATGGTCAGAAAAAAAATGATGGCAAAAAAATAAGTGCAAAATGCAAGAATGTCAAGTGCAAATGGTTTGCTTATGCTACTAATGAACCAAATAGTGATGCCTTTGTCATACGAATCATAAGGCTAGAACATCAATGTGGAAGGGCATTCTACCATAAGCTAGCAAACTTAGGATTCCTAAATGTACATTACAAGAAGTTCTTGCAATTGAATGAGAAGATTTCAGTTAGAGAGTTTAAGGAAAAGCGCATTAAGAATTGAATGTGCATATTACAAAAGATCATGTTCACAAAACATTTGCAAAGGCTAAGGTATTGATCCAAGTAAACTAGAAGAAATAGTACAAAAAATATAGGACTATTGTGAGGAACTCCTGCGATCAAATCCAAGTTCTACTCAAGACAGAAACTGATGAGCTTAGTGGAAAGGAGAGATGAAGGTTGATTTGAACCTAGATTACTTGAAACACTAGCTGAGCTTGATGTTGCTTTGGCCCAATTTCTCCTTAGATGCATTTGCAATGATTCTATACACAATTTTGAGAATTTGAGGAGACATTCCTTTTTTCCAATGAACCCTAGCTCTCCAATTGAGAAAATCTGCAAATTAAGCTCCTCAATTTGAATTTGTTGTTTTAACGCACAATTTACTTGGCTTTATTACACCCGCATAAGTGATGTCTCAAAAATACCTCTATAAATTTGGTCAATTTGACAACCGCTTGATTTTGCTTGTGGCCTTGCGGTGGAGCGCCTCAATTGGGACCTGCATCTTAAGTTTAGGTATCTAATCGGTCAACACTAAAATATGAGAGACTAAATTGACACAAGTAAGATAATTTAGGGGCCAAATTGGTCATTTTCCCTATCTCTTAGTCCCTTCCTGCCGCGGAGAGGATAAGAAAGTTTCATAAACGTGAAACTTCCTCTCTTTTTTCCACCCAGCCTCTCGAAGCCACAAATCAATAGCAAATTGAAATACAATACAAAAAATCAGGCACAATCACTAGCCGTACCTGTAGTACCTTCATTTTCCTCATCTGCAACACTACCTCTTCAAAACGCACCTCCAGTTCCTTCTCTTTGCCCGCCTCATCAGTTCCCCCAAAGGTAGATTTCTTCGATTATCGTTTTTTTTTTCTCTTTTGTCATATTTTAGTTGACGGGTGCTAGATTGGTGGGTTGAGTATAAGTTGTGCTCGTGTGGGAGGAGTGGAGATACCAAACAGCAAAAGGGTGGAGTTTTCTTTGCAGTATATTCATGGATTGGGCGTACAACGGCTAAGCAGATACTGGTTGACCTTGGAATGGACAACAAATTCACAAAGGACTTGTCTGAAAAAGAACTCACCTCTCTCCGTGAAGAAGTCACCCAGTACATGATTGAAGGAGATCTTGTATGTTTTTCTTTTCCTTTTCAATTAATGCCTGAAGGAACATTTTTTTTTCTTGTTATCTGTTGAGGGTAGTAGTTTTCTCTTTTCTGTTTTCTTTTCTTTTTGGAGGGGTTTTAGGGGTCCAGTTAAAAGGGTTCTAGCTAGTTTGCTGGCTTAATTGTGGCTTCATAAGCTGTTGTTTGAATTGGAACTGTATTGCATTAAAACCTTTAAAGAAATTCCATAGAATGCAATTCCTTAGTAAATGGATTTGGAAATTTTTACACTGGAGCTTTAAATTTGTTTTATGAAGTAAAGGCGTGATTATTTATTCTTGCTATGGTTATCTAGAATGCAACTTGTTGCATGATGGGCTCGTTTGCTTGTTTATTTTTATGGGATGACACATCTTTTTTGAAATTTTTTTAGTGTAAGTGGAAGATCTCGAATCCGGAATCTCTCACTTATGCCATCGTACCACTCAGCCCATCCCTTTCCCAAATGACACATCTTATCAATTCATTAGGTTTTTAAATGGGCTTATGTTGTAGTTATTATTGACATGTTCAGTTTGATGTATAAAGCTGGATCTTGAGAATTAATTTCAATGTCAAATTAATGTACCCCAAATCAGATGCAGGGTATGCATAGTATGTCAATGCTATTGCAAGCACTAGGTAATGTACTTGGAAAGGTTGAATTGGCAAAATGAAGCGAAGAAAGCTATTTTTCCTGGTGCTAATAGGTTGTGATATGCATGTTAAAAATGAAATTTCAGGGTTGTCAGGCAATCTCTCTGTTCTGTATTTAAGGGAATACAGGACAAGGGAAAAGGAAATAAAACACTCCCATCTTGAGTGGTCAACATTAATACAAGGAGACTCACTGGTTTACAAGCCAAATGTAAAATAGTGGACAAGCGAAAAATGTAAAATAGTTTATCTGCATAACATGTCTCATCCTCGTTTATGTTCCTTGTTTTTTTTTCGTTAGTATGGCTATAGCATTATTCATGTTATTAAATAGGACCAATAAGAGCTGAATTTGAATGCAAGTACATTTTGTTTCGACTATGTGCATAACATGACTAGAGCTTTTTACATTTTTCTGTGCCAATGCTGCCTGATTATCTGGGTAAAATTTGTGGAGGAGGTCTACTGCACTTGCAATTAGGAGGCTAAAGGAGATCCAATGTTACCGAGGTGTGAGGCGGCATATTCAGGGATTGCCCTGTGGAGGGCAACGTACAAAGAACAACTGCCGGACCCTGAAGGGCAAGAAGGTTACTGTTGCTGGAAAGAAGAAGGCACCTCGCTAAATTGGTTTGTTAAAAACAAACACTGTAGAGGATGATGAAGATGAAGTCTCAATCATAGAAGATGACACAAAATTATCTCAATATCTCAAAAACTCAACTGTCAAAAAAAATGCAACCGATGACAACAATCTCAAGAAGAAGATAAAAATGGAAAAGGCTAAATACTGGTAATCGTTAGATACATTTTCATATCATTATGTATTTAATTACTAGTTTCATATTGGTGATTGTTTTCAGCATGTTTAAAGACATTTCCTTAATTAAGAAAAAATTGATACCAGCTTGTAGTTCAATTTTATTTATGACCAAATACAACAAAACATTCCAAATTTATAGAGAAAAAGCAAATATGAAGACCACAAAATTACAAGTGAAACACACATGCACCTATCTAGTCATTAAAAATGGCTTTACCAAATGTTCAACAGTTCAAACCTTTCTCAATGAAATCTATTTTGAATACACAAAATTGATGCAAAAGAAAGAAAGAAAAAAAAGGAAACCAATGGAACACACAAAGTTGACTAATGGTTCGGATCTTAACATGTTCAGACATGTGTGATAACAAAAATAAAGTATTTTAATTAATTAAGTAACATTAAATTTTCTAAATAAAACTTACTCCAAATTATCACATAATGTGATATACACTCAAATGGATCAGACTTAATACTTAACGATTTAGTAACTTAACATATCCATATTTTAGCATTAGTAACTTAACGATTCAGTTTTCATACTTCAATTTTATCAAACACGCCCTAAGTTCGATGCCTTTAGCAACCTATTTATCCATTGACGGTTAGCCGCTGGTTCGAATATATGCCAGCCCGTGCCTGATTTAGCATAATATCAAGGTCTATAATCTTGTATTGGAAAAGCCGACTTCTTGGATCGAGACCTAAAACTTTACGCCGTTCAACTTTAATTATGATCATTTGTCGTGCATAAGACTCTTCGTTTTCTTAAATATTTTCTCATTCTGTTGTATTGAAACACAAACAACAGTAAGTTGCACCCTACTATTGTAATTGCTGGGGAATGGGGAGGGCTCAATTTGGCCACGTAAAAATTGGAAGGAAAGAACCCATCTCTAGGACGGTGAACTATTGCATCCTGTAAGTATTAACCTTTTACGAAGACTACTAAGACCGAAGTAAATGCTATAGAATTGTTACTTTCAGGACAAATTTACCATACATTTCCAAACGCTCGATTTTCACCCTATACTAGTTTTGGTATCAATTCCATAAACTCTATTGGCTAGGCAGAGTTTATTTTTACACAGAATACATTCTCTACATCATATCATCTTCTGCTAATGCCTGGTAGTGCTATGTAAGGGGGTAGGGGAATGAGCCAGTGCAGCCTGTATTTAATAGGAGGCAAGATATCTGCAAAAACCAAAAACATCATCCAAGTTCAACATATCTGATGGATCTAATGATTTAACAAGAAAAGAAATGGAAAAGAGATTCATATGGCCTACATATAGGATCAGCATGCCAACCTGGAAATAAAGAGCATTGTTGGCCTGCATTGAGGATCAACATGTAGACATTCTCTTGCTAGTTTGTGAATGGATATCAGAATCTTTTCAATTTCTTGATTGGGATACAGAAGTCTTTGGTCTAGCATGTCTCTCAGTTCTATCTCTTTAGGCTTTGAAGACATTAGGTGAGCAATCAAGTCAGCAGGATGCTTTCCTTTGATTACTTCCATTGTTAGCACCCCAAAGCTATAAACGTCACACTTTTCGTTAACTTTCATTGTGTAGGCAAATTCTGCAAGAGAAAGTAGGAAAATGATTTTTTATGATATGTGATCAGACTTGAATTTACTAGTTAACCGGTTAATGAAAGGAAAAAAAAAAAAGAAGCTTTATTACCTGGTGCAACATATCCATATGTGCCTACAAGAGAACTCCAATTAGAAGAGTCTTTTTGCAGACACTTGGAAGTGCCAAAATCTGAAACGTGAGCCTCGTATTCTAGATCAAGCAAAATGTTGTTGCTTGATATGTCCCGATGCACAATTGCTGGTGAACAATCATGATGCATGTAAGATAAAGCATGAGCGACTCCTTGGATGATTTTCAACCTCTTTTGCCAGTCTAGTTCCTTAGCTTCTTCTTCCATGCTCAAGATTTTGGCCAAGCTTCCTCTTTCAAAGTATTCATAAATCAAAATCGAATGCTGAGCATTTGAGCAGAAGCCAAAGAGTTTCACAATGTTGCGATGCTTGATTTCTGTCAAGGCCCTGATTTCATTCAAGAAACTTCTATCCTTTGCCACATTAGGCATGTTGTGAAGTCTCTTTACAGCTACTACATCACCTGATGGAAGCTGTGCTCTGTAAACACTTCCATAACCTCCTTTCCCAATAGAAAATATTTCACTGAACTCTTCTGTAGACTTCAAGATTTCTTTATACAATGCTTTGCCATCAAAAGCACATATGGCAAATAATCCGCCCTTCTTCACCTCCATGTCTTCCTTTCTTGAATATTTTTTTATTTGATCATGCAATATAAGAACGCCAGAGAATGCACCAAGAAGTATGAATGATCCCAGTAGAGGTATTACAATTATGAGAACAAGTTCCTTCCTTTTATCCTTGACGTGCTTTCTGATCAAAGGGAAACTTTCACACGCTCGTAACCCTGTAATATTGCCACATAAAGCTTCATTTCCCTTTACTTCTTCTAACGTTAGATTCACAAAGGCTCTACCACTCGGAATTGGACCCTCCAAATTATTAAAAGAAAGATTAACGTGCAATAAACCAGGCAATTCTGCTAAAGCCTTTGGGATCAAACCAGAGAGGTTATTCTGGGAGAGATTTAGTGTCCCTAGATTCTGCAAATTTTGAAACTCAAATGGTATCCCTCCTATGAAGAGATTTTGACTCAAATCCAATTCAGAAAGATGGATTAACTTCCCAATCTGTGGCGGAATCTTTTGACTTAAAACGTTGTTGCTCAAGTTCATGTGAAACAAGTGTTTCAAATCTCCCAAAAGTTCTGGTAAACCTCCACTCAAGGAGTTTGTGGACAGATCTAGAAATTCCATTAGCAGTCCCAATTCCTGAGGTATACCACCAGCAAGTTGGTTGTCATGTAAATCTAGTTTAAGCATGGAAGCTAACTTACCAACTGCCCTTGGTATCTCCCCTGACAAATAATTTGAAGAAAGATCAAGAGCATGTAGTTGAGTTAAATTTCCAATTTCTAGAGGTATGCCACCTGTGATGCTGTTCTTTGCAACCATCAGGGTTTTCAAAAGTTTGCATTTACCCCAGTTGCTGGAGAGTTCTCCATAGAATTCATTGTTGCTGAGATTCATGAAATCTAGAAATGGATAGATTCCAAACATTTCTGACAAGTTTCCATGGAAACTGTTACCGTCGAAACAGGCCCTAATTAAGCTTGGGCAGTGTTGCAAGCTTCTAGGGATTGGACCAGTAAGCATGTTCATACCGACAGTAATGTTCTGAAGTGTTGCATTTTGACAGAGTACTTCTGGCAATGGACCAGAGAACTGATTATGATCCAATTCCAAAACAACCAACTTATTCAGCTTTCCAAGCTCTTGTGGAATGGTACCAGAAAATTGGTTTTCTCTCAGAAACAGTGTTCTTAAGTTACTCAAGTTTCCAATTGAAAAAGGAATCGAACCATTAAGTTGATTCTGACTTATGATCATATCGGTAAGGAAATTTAGATCACCCAATTCCTTTGGAATTGAATCCGAAAGTTGATTTTCTCGGAGATACAGCACAATTAAATTGGTTAAATTTCCTAGTGACTTTGGGATTGCACCAGTGTGATTATTTTGAGACAAGGAAAGAAATTGAAGTGAGATTAGATTCCCGATAGCAGGGGGAATTGGACCTGTAAGTTGATTCCTTGCAAGAAGTAAAAAAGTCAAGTTTCTCAAGTTGCAAATATCAGGTGGGATTTCTTGTGACAAATCATTAGCGCTGAAGTCAAGATAAATGAGCTTCGACAGGTTACCTATTTGTTTAGGTATACTGCCAAAGATCTGATTCAGGCTGAGATCAAGATACTCAAGATTTAGGAGGGATGAAAATGGGAAATCATAGAGGTTACCTTTAATACCCCAATCTGAGAGGTTCAACTTGTTGACACTTCCGTCAACGCAGGAAATACCAGCCCAAGTGCATGGAAGGATAGACGAATTTTTGGCGTTGGTGGATTGAAGGTTCCATGTGGTTAGGTTGCTATTGTTCTGGTTCTGAAAACTGGCTTTCCATTTCAAAAGAGCAGCAGCCTCTTCAGAAGAAGCTGAAGCTCCACACTTGGGGGGAAATGAGGGAAAAAGTGGGAGAACCATAAGGAATATGGAGATTATTTTGAAGGAAACCATGACTACTTTCAAGTTCAACTCAAGTTGGCAAATGTTGTTACTTTGTACCGCAAATGAAGCTGGTATTTATCCTTAATGCACATGGAAGCCTTCAGAGGTCTTCTTGCTCTGTACCTGCTCTGTTTTCATTTGATTTCGAGATTGAAACGCTTAAGATGTCTATTCCAATCGGACGAGACATTTAAAACAATGAGAACTGTTCATAAGATTGACCATTTTTGTCTTCCATGGCTACTTTTTCCTACTGAATCTACAGATCTAAAATGGTGACTCGTGTACCTCCTGGAGAAGGAGCAATTACCACCGATTCCTAAATGATTATGAGCCTATAGCTGAGCAAATTACATTATAGTTCTATATTTTTGAAGATGTATTATTCAAAATTTTTTAACAGCATCTTTGATGAAATGCAAGAGAAGACAGAAATTGCAAAAAGCTAATTTTCTTTTACCAATTCTATTGCACCTATACGTATTAAGCAGTAAATAGGGAATGGAATCTAGTGGGGACTGGATCCGTGGGCTAATTGCTCAGATTATTGTAAAAAAAAAAAAAAAAGGAGAAACAAATATTGTTCTAACAATGTAGCGGAACAAAACTATGATTACAGAGCTGACTAAGCCCGGTAGGCAAGAGATTTTTCAGCCCGGCAGCTACGGGAAATTTTGGACAAAAGTAGGCGACAATCCACAGCTTAACTTTAAAAAAAAAAAAAAAACTTGCAGGCTCGTCGCTAGCTTTTTTTTTTTTTTTTTTTACCTAAAAACTTTTGCCGGCTGTAGTTGGGGTTCACTTGCTCCATTAGCCGAAAAAAGCTGCTGGGAATCTCTTTTCGGTCAATGGGATTCACTTGCTCCTTTCCTTCCCTTTCCTTTTCTTTTCTTTTCTTTTCTTTTAAGAATTCATACACAATAAATGCACACGCAAATTATAGATTAGACACAAAATTTTATCAACAATTTATTTTATCCAAACACATATTAAAATCCTTGAGTTAGATTGTTCAAGCCAATTAAGAGTCTAGCTAGTAGGTCATCTTGGCACAAAATGGTAGACTCTAGTATTTTTACTACTAGAAAATGTGATAAATAAATAATTTGATAATTTACACAACAAAGATACATCAAATAAGTTGATCCTCATACGGCAAGATCAGCCAAAGCAAAACTTGCATTATTTCATTCAGGGCAGCTGCCCCTTGAAATCAAGATTGGTGAAATTACTGTATTACAAATATATTTCACCATTTCATGTTATCAAATTTTTCTTCTTTTCTATTTTTTGCCTTTTCATTTTTATATTGCACAATAATTTTATATTTATAAAATTATAGTTACATTAAAAATTACTTTTTATACTTAACTACCACTATCATATTTATTTTTACCTTTATTCTTATAACAACCCACTGCCAAATATTAATTTATTTGTATATTTTATTTAGGTAAATATCAATTTTCTATATATTTTATAAAAATATATAAGACCAAATCTAATACATAATAATTTCAACGATTATTTTCCAAAGATTTGGGAAATGCATCTTCTTATATATTGAATGAGGTTTTTTTATCTAAAAACTTTTTTTAGGGTTTAATATAAAATAAAAATAATTGATTTAGCAAATCTATCTGGACGTTTTTCTTACGTTTCAACTTAAAAAAAAATTTTAACCAGAAAGGCCACCAGGCGTAGCCCGGCAGCATAAGTTTTTAGAATATAATACCCTGGTTCACCAAAATGCTAATTTATTATTCATAATTTCTTGCCTTGATGATTTCATTGCTCTTTACATCCATAGCAAACGTTATTTTAGTGATTGGAGACAGCCTGCATGCTTTTTTTTTTTTTTTTTTTTTTGTAAAAAGTTAAGTTGCAGGCTATCGAAAAAAGTTAAGCTGCGGGCTACAGGCTGTCCGGAGTTAAAGTTAAGCTGCAAGCTTTTTTTTCAAAAATTCCAGTAGCTACCGGGCAAGTCAGCTCGGCAGCCAAACTTTGAAAAAAAAATTCTTTTGCCTGCTCTGTAGGCATAGTTTTATACCACTATAATGTCAAAACAACATTGTTCTGACCCTTTTTTTGGGCAATAATCAGAGCAATTAGCCGAACTTTTGATGGTTCAAATGATGTGAGCTCATCAACGGCCAAAAACATGGAGAACAAAATAGAGATGAGCATAGAGTGTTGCAGCTGGTAACGATGTCGAAGCAATTAGTGTAGATGGGAAAAAAATCGAAATGAATTTGGCTTGTAACTTCGTTCCAATTGTTGTTAAGGGTATTGACAAATTCAAAATCAAAATTTGGTAAGATCAGGGCGGCGTTTAAATCCTCATTGTAGAGTTGAAATCTTTGTTGAGGAGATAGTTGACTCATTTTTTGCTTTGAACATTTAAGATCTCACCACATTGATCATTCATGGTCACCAATATTCTATTCATGCCCAATTCACCGAGTATTCCATCACAAAATTTTAATTTTAATGTGAGCAAAATACGATAATGAGAAACTTGTGCATGATGAAATTTTCAACAAAAGAATGAATATCTCAAAAATAAGAATTTCTGTCTAACTGTGAGTATTGACAGTCATTGTATTCTCAAAATAGGTAGAGAAAAGAAGCAAGCAACTAATCAACACTTTTATCAATTTTCACATGATTCTCTTGTACTAACCACAAGAATTTCTTTTGTATGCACTGAAATTTCTATTGTCCTAATTAATCAACAAATTGTAAATCTAATTGAAGCACATGTAACTTAACCCTAACTACTATTCATTTTTTTATTTCAAATAAGATACATTCCCTAAACCTTTGTTGAAATCATGCCCAATTCACTAGGCATTCCATCTTTCTTTCTTTTTTTCAAAATCCCATATTAAATAATGTGTATATTTTCTAAATAGAGCGTAAATATTTTTAGTTAACAGCCTGGTACATCTGACAAAAGATAAACTTGTTCAATGATTTCAAGAAAATAGAGTTTCTTACCTCTATTAACCCTAAAATTGCCAACTATTGTAGGACCCTAAACCCTTGAATTATGCAGTTTCTCCGCCTAGAAAACACCATGTGGGTATTGTTGTCCTAATAAATCAACAAATTGTAAACCTAATTGAACCACATGTAACTTAACCCTAACTACTAGTCATTTTTTTTATTTCAAAGAAGAGACATTCCCTAAACCTACGTCGAAATCATGCCCAATTCACAAGGTATTCATCTTTCATTTTTTTTTCCCAAAATCCCATCTTAAATAATGTGTATATTTTCTACATAGTGTGTAAATTTTTTTAGTTAACAGCCCAGTACATCTGACAAAAGATAAACCTGTTTGATGATTTCAAGAAAATAGAGTTTCTTACCTCTATTAACCCTGAAATTACCAACTATTGTAGGACCTAAACCCTTGGATTATGCAGTTTCTCTGCCTACAAAACACTGTGTGGGTATTGTTGTCCTTGTAAATCAACAAATTGTAAATCTAATTGAATCACATTACTAGTCATGTTTTTCATTTCAAATAAGAGACATTCCCTAAACCTATGTCGAAATCATGCCCAATTCACTAGGCATTCCATCTTTCATTTTTTTTTTCAAAATCCCACCTTAAATAATGTGTATATTTTCCAAATACTATGTAACTATTTTTAGTTAATAGCTCAGTACCTCTGATAAAAGATAAACCTATTCGATGATTCGAAAAATAGAGTTTCTTACCTCTGTTAACCTTGAAATTGCCAGCTATTGCAAGACCGTAAAGCCTTGGATTACGTAATTTCTCTGCCTAGAAAACACCGTATGGGTCTTTTTTAGGAGGAATTCAGGTAGCTATTCCTTAATGAGATAAGCGTTTGGCCAATATCCAAGGAGGTTGTTGGGAGTTGTCCTCTCCATTATCTCAAAGCAATGTGGGTCTTTTGGAGTGATTTTGGGAATTAACAGATAAGGGAAAAGGGTTTGGAGAAATCTATTTTGATATTATTGCTAAAAGAACTTTCCATTAATAATTTGGGAGGGATAAATTTTTACTGTGCAAATGCCGACGATGCTCCATATTTTTTCATAATGTCTTTTTTTTTTATTACTACTAAATGAAATATCGCCATTCTGCATCCTTCTCCTCACTTGCCGCGTGGCTATGTTTTCTGTCATTGATTTATTTCAATTCATCCAAGCCGTCAAAAGTTTCTGGATGGTTGTTTGGTGACCGTCCAGGCCCCTTGTCCGGTGGGACTTATTATGATGCTCTGGAGGCCTCATTATCACGAACTAGGAGCGGGCACGGATCAGGTATCTGCCCTTAACAAGATATAGCTGACCCGACCCTAAAATATCGGATCAGCCATTTTGTGACGCTAACCCGCTCCTAATATTCGGGTATCCGCTATTCGAGTATCCCAAAAAAAGGGGCGGGTCATAGGGTACCCGCCCCTAAAAAAACTATTTTCCAATAAAAAAATATTTTTCACTTAATATCAACATGTTTTCCAATAAAAAAAAAGTATGCTTTCCAATTAACATTGGTAGATATATTATAATCAAAATCCATGCATCACCATTCTCACATATTTCATCTAATAATCAAACCGATTTCATAAATTTAGTACATATTCGAATTATAATATTTAATAGATAAAATGAAATTTTATAATAATTTTGAGTATATCACCGTTCTCACGCATTTCATCCTTCTATAACATAACAAACACAAGGATAATAAGTATATGGCAACTTTTTCAACTTTTCCAAGTATAACAAACACAAGGATAAAACGAAGTTTGATGATAATTTTGAGTACATCACCATTCTCACGCATTTCATCCTTTTACAACATAACAAACACAAGAATAATAAGTATATGACAACTTTTCCAACTTCCTTAAGGATATTATGATACAAGATTGCATCCAAAATGAGTCGATTGTGAAATCAAGTCCGAAAAAGAATTGAACAGAGCTAATAATTTTTGAAGAAAGTATAACCAAAATAATCTTGAA